ATACAGGACTAAGATCGAATCGTACTACACCGGCTCCGACGCTCGTCAGATGTGGCAGGGCTTGTAAACTATTACAGACTACAAAGGGAAGCACAGCTGCGAGCTGCCCAGTGACACGAGCCTACCAGACGAGCTAAATAACTTGCTTCGAGGCAAGTAACACTGAAACATGCATGAGAGCATCAGCTGTTCCGGACGACTGTGTGATCACGCTCTTCGTAGCCGATGTGAGTAAGACCTTTTAAGCAGGTTAACATTCACAAGGCCGCAGGGCTAGACGGATTACCAGGACGTGTACTCCGAGCATGCGCTGACCAACTGGCAAGTGTCTTCACTGACATTTTCAACCGCTCCCTATCTGAGTCTGTAATACCAACATGTTTCAAGCAGACCAGCATAGTCCCTGCGCCCAAGAAAGCAAAGGTAACCTGCCTAAATGACTACGACCCATAGCACTCACGTCTGTAGCGATGAAGTGCTTTGAAAGGCTGGTCATGGCTCGCATCAACACCATTATCCCAGAAACCCTAGACCCACTCCAATTTGCATACTGCCCCAACAGATCCACAGATGATGCAAACTCTATTGCGCGCCACACTGCCCTTTCACACCTGGACAAAAGGAACACCTATGTGAAAATGCTATTCATTGACTACAGCTCAGCGTTCAACACCATAGTGCCCTCAAAGCTCATCACTAAGCTAAGGACCCTAGGGACTAAACACCTCCCTCTGCAACTAGATCCTGGACTTCCTGACAGGCCGCCCCCAGGTGGTAAGGGTAGGTAACAACACATCCTCCACGCTGATCCTCAACACGGGGGCTCCTCAGGGATGCGTGCTCAGTCCCCTCCTGTACTCCCTGTTCACTCATGACTGCATGGCCAGGCACATTTTTACATTACATTTTAGTCATTTAGCAGACGCTCTTATCCAGAGCGACTTACAGTTAGTGAGTGCATACATTATTATTATTTTTTGTAATTTTTTTCATACTGGCCCCCCGTGGGAATCGAACCCACAACCCTGGCGTTGCAAACGCCATGCTCTACCAACTGAGCTACATCCCTGCCGGCCATTCCCTCCCATACCCTGGACGACGCTGGGCCAATTGTGCGCCGCCCCATGGGTCTCCCGGTCGCGGCCGGCTACGACAGAGCCTGGATTCGAACCAGGATCTCTAGTGGCACAGCTAGCACTGCAATGCAGTGCCTTAGACCACTGCGCCACTCGGGAGGCACGACTCCAACACCATCATTAAGTTTGCCGATGACACAACAGTGGTAGGCCTGCTCACCGACAACGACGAGACAGCCTATAGGAGGTCAGAGACCTGGCCGTGTGGTGCCAGGATAACAACCTCTCCATCAACGTGATCAAGACAAAGGAGATGATTGTGGACTACAGGAAAAAGAAGAGGACCGAGCACGCCCCCATTCTCATTGACAGGGCTGTTAGTGGAGCAGGTTGAGAGCTTCAAGTTCCTTGGTGTCCACATCACCAACGAACTAACAGTCGTGAAGAGGGCACGACAAAACCTATTCCCCCTAAGGAGACTGAAAATATTTGGCATTGGTCCTCAGATCCTCAAAAGGTTCTACAGCTGCACCATCAAGAGCATCCTGAATGGTTGCATCACTGCCTGGTATGGAAACTGCTCGGCCTCCGACCGCAAGGCACTACAGAGGGTAGTGCGTACGGCCCAGTACATCACTGGGGCCAAGCTTCCTGCCATAAGACTCCTGAACATTTAATCAAATGGCTACCCCCCCCCCCTTACACTGCTGCTATTCTGTTTATTATCTATGCTTAGTCACTTTAATAACTCTACCTACATGTACAGTTGAAATCGGAAGTTTGCATACACTTAGGTTGGAGTCATTAAAACTTGTTTTTCAACCACTCCACATATTTCTTGTTAACAAACTATAGTTTTGGCAAGTCGGTTAGGACATCTACTTTGTGCATGACACAAGTAATTTTTCCAACAATTGTTTACAGACAGATTATTTCACTTATAATTCACTGTATCACAATTCCAGTGGGTCAGAAGTTTACATACACTAAGTTGACGGTGCCTTTAAACAGCTTGGAAAATTCCAGAAAATGATGTCATGGCTTTAGAAGCTTCTGATAGGCTAATTGACATAATTTGAGTCAATTGAAGGTGTACCTGTGGATGTATTTCAAGGCCTACCCTCAGTGCCTCTTTGCTTGACATCATGGGAAAATCAAAAGAAATCAGCCAAGACCACAGAAAAAATATTGTAGACCTCCACATTCTGGTTCATTCTTGGGAGCAATTTCCAAACGCCTGAAGGTACCACGTTCATCTGTACAAACAATAGTACGCAAGTATAAACACCATGGGACCACGCAGCCGTCATACCGCTCAGGAAGGAGACGCGTTCTGTCCCCTAGAGATGAACGTACTTTGGTGCGAAAAGTGCAAATCAATCCCAGAACAACAGCAAAGGACCTTGTGAAGATGCTGGAGGAAACAGGTACAAAAGTATCTATATCCACAGTAAAACGAGTCCTATATCGACATAACCTGAAAGGCCGCTCAGCAAGGAAGAAGCCACTGCTCCAAAACCGCCATAAAAAAGCCAGACTACGGTTTGCAACTGCACATGGGGACAAAGATCGTACTTTTTGGAGAAATGTCCTTCTGGTCTGATTAAACAAAAATATAACTGTTTGCCCATAATGACCATCGTTATGTTTGGAGGATAAAGGGGGTTGCTTGCAAGCCGAAGAACACCATCCCAACCGTGAATATCGGGGGTGGCAGCATCATGCTGTGGGGGTGCTTTCCTGCTGGAGGGACTGGTGCACTTCACAAAATAGATGGCATCATGAGGAAGGAAAATTATGTGGATATATTGAAGCAACATCTCAAGACATCAGTTAGGAAGTTAAAGCTTGGTCGCAAATGGGTCTTCCAAATGGACAATGACCCCAAGCATACTTCCAAAGTTGTGGCAAAATGGCTTAAGGACAACAAAGTCAAGGTATTGGAGTGGCCATCACAAAGCCATGACCTCAATCCTATAGAAAATGTGTGGGCAGAACTGAAAAAGTGTGTGCGAGCAAGGAGGCCTACAAACCTGACTCAGTTACACCAGCTCTGTCAGGACGAATGGGCCAAAATTCACCCAACTTATTGTGGGAAGCTTGTGGAAGGCTACCCAAAACGTTTGACCCAAGTTAAACAATTTAAAGGCAATGCTACCAAGTACTAATTGAGTGTATGTACACTTCTGACCCACTGGGAATGTGATGGAATAAATAAAAGCTGAAATAAATAATTCTCTCTACTATTATTCTGACATTTCACATTCCTAAAATAAAGTGGTGATCCTAACTGACCTAAGACAGGGAATTTGTACTAGGATTAAATGTCAGGAATTGTGAAAAACTGAGTTTTAAATGTATTTGGCTAAGGTGTATGTAAACTTCCGACTTCAACTGTACATATTATCTCAACTAACCGGTGCCCCCGCACATTGACTCGGTACCGGTTCCCCCTGTATATAGCCTCGCTATTGTTATTTTTACTGCTGCTCTTTAATGATTTGTTACTTTTATTTCGTAATATTCTATATTGTATTTTTTTGTCAAATTTTTTTTGGGGGGTATTCTTTCTTAAAACTGCATTGTTGATTAATGGCTTGTAAGTAAGCATTTTCACTGTAAAGTCTACACCTGTTGTATTCGGCGCATGTGACAAATACAATTTGATTTGACCCTGGTTGCTTCTGTGTGTCGCTCTGGATGGAAGTCTGTTAGATGACTGAACGTAATGTAAATGTTGCATGGCTTCACTGCAACTAGATTGTGTTTTTAATATTCAATAATAATAAAAACACAAGATAAAAAAAACAAAATAATTACATAAACTGAACGACTAAAAAGCAAAGCTAAAAATATGTGTTTTAAGATCTCTTTTAAATATGTCCACAGTTTTCAGGTTCTCTGGCAGGCTATTCAAGAGGCTGGTGGCATAATAACTAAAGGCTTCCTAAACACGGCGGGGACTGTGGGTTATGAGTCCACCCGCGCTTCACTATTCCACATAGACCCACACAGTTGTGAAGAGGGCACGACAACGCCTCTTCCCCCTCAGGAGGCTGAAAAGATTTGGCATGGGCCCCCAGATCCTCAAAAAGTTATACAGCTGCACCATTGAGAGCATCTTGACTGGCTTCATCACCGCTTGGTACGGCAACTGAGGGTGGTGAGTACGGCCCAGTACATCACTGGGGCCAAGCTCCCTGCCATCCAGGACCTCTATACCAGGCGGTGTCAGAGGAAGGCCCAGAGAATTGTCAGCCACCCAAGCCATAGACTGTTCTCTCTGCTACCAAGCGGTACCAGTGCACCAAGTCTGGAACCAACAGGACCCTGAACAGCTTCTACCCCCAAGCCATAAGACTGCTAAACAAGACTGCTAAATAGCTAATCAAATGGCTAGGCGGACTACCTGCATTGACTTTCTTGCACTGACTCTATGCACACACACTGGAGTCTACCTACAGACTTACACATACTTACACTGACACCCCAACACACACACATACACACACACTACATACGCCCACACACACACACATAACACGCGCACACATGCATACTGACGCCACACACACACCTCACACACACACACACACACACACACACACACACACACACACACACACACACACTTTCACACTCACCACAGATGCTGCTGCTACTGTCTATTATCTATATTGTCCATCTATCCTGTTGCCTAGTCACTTTACCTCTACCTATATGTACCTTTATGTTATTGTTATTCGTTATTCACTGTGTGTTTATTCCTTGTGTCACTATTTCATTTTTTAAAATAAATGTTATATCTTTATCTTTAACACTGCATTGTTGGAAAAGGACCCATAAGTAAGCATTTCACTGTTCGTCTACATATGACAAATACAATTGTATTTCCCATCTTCTCTCCTCTCCTCTCCTCTCCCCACTCAGGTCATTAACCTAAAGCTGGCCAACAACACCATGGTCAAAGCCACGGTGATCCCCGCCGTGTCGGTGCAGAGTGCCAGCAGCGCCATCCTCAAAGCTGCCGACGCCATCCATCAACAACAGCAGACCGTCATGGTGCCCACATCCAGCCTGGCCAACGCCAAACTCACCGTGCCAAAGACCGTCCACCTCACCAACCTCAACCTGCTCCCCCAGACCAAGACCACCTCTGTGTCTGAGCTCCACCAGGTTTTGGTTTATTAAGAAACCCATTTGTACATCAGGAGTAATCTTCTATGCTAACGCATTATAGAAAACAAAATATATAACGTCATACAGTATAATGAAGTAAACATGAGGAATCATTCCAATAAATAACTAAATAGATTAATAACAACAATAAATCCCTGACATTCATTCAGTAACTTCTTAGATTTTGTATCACCAGGTGCTGTCCAGCTCCAAGCCCCAGAGTCAACAGGCCCTGCTGGCTGCCCAGGCCCAGAAGAAAGGTGTCTCTAGAGTCCAGGTGTTAGCCAGCTCCCAGAGTTCTGTAGTGGAGGCCTTCAATAAGGTCCTGAGCAGCATCAACCCTGTCCCAGTCTATGTCCCCAACCTCAGCCCCCCCTCGGCGGCCTGTATCCCCCTGCCCTCCCGCGGCTACAGGTAAAATGCTAGCTAGCTAAGTAGCATTTTAATTGTTTTATCTTTAAAAAAAAATTTTTTTTTCTCCTATTTTTTGTTATACGTGATCCTTGGGCTTCTTCAAATGCAGTGTATATAATATATATATATATGTTTGTATTAATGTATAGTCATTTATATTATTATTTACAGGTGCCTGGAGTGCGGTGACTCGTTTGCCCTGGAGAGAAGCCTGAGCCAGCATTACGACCGCCGCAGCGTCCGTATCGAGGTCACCTGCAACCACTGTGCCAAGAACCTGGTCTTCTACAACAAGTGCAGTCTGCTCTCCCACGCCCGCGGACACAAGGACAAAGGTGTGTTTTCTTCATACATGAAATGTGTAAAGCATTCGCTGCCATTGATACTCTGAAAAGCTTCTAAATTGTGAAAAACCTCCTCTTCTCTTCTCTTCTCTTCTCTTCTCTTCTCTTCTCTTCTCTTCTCTTCTCTTCTCTTCTCTTCTCTTCTCTTCTCTTCTCTTCTCTTCTCTTCTCTTCTCTTCTCTTCTCTTCTCTTCTCTTCTCTTCTCTCTCTTCTCTTCTCTTCTCTTCTCTTCTCTTCTCTTCTCTTCTCTTCTCTTCTCTTCTCTTCTCTTCTCTTCTCTTCTCCTCAAAGGGGTGGTTATGCAGTGTTCCCACCTCATCCTCAAGCCCATCCCTACAGACCAGATGATCACTACATCTCCTCCGCTATCCTCCACCACCGCCGCTGGATCTACCCACAGCTCCACCGGCCACTACCTAGGGAAGGGTGCAGGGACCCAGGCCCAGGCAGCGGTGATCTGTGCCCCCTCCAACGCCCCTCCGGTTGCTGCCATGCCCCTGGATGAGGATGTGTCCCGGCTCTGCAGAACCAGCCTGAAGTGTTTAGAGTGCAGTGAGATGTTCCAGGATGAGAACTCTCTAGCAATGCACTATCAGCAGGCGCCAGAGTCCAGCGGACAGGTGTGTGTGGTTACTGTGTGTATAAGCGGGTGTTGTGTGAGTGTTTTCATACTCTTTTAACACTTCCCTTGTCTATTTGTATTTCCGTGAGTCACTCAGACTTTTCCTTTATATTAATATATACATTTTCTTTACCTTTAAAGCTGGAATCCTTTATGGTAAAACAATCACATCCATTTGCGATATTACAACAAAGAAGTTACTGCGAATAAAGAACGCTGTTTTCCCCCCCTCTGACATCATTGCACGCGTGACAGAAGAGCACAATATGCAGTGCATTGTTTTTCACCATGCTGCACGACGCTCCTCAGCTCAGCAACAACAACAATAACAACGGTGGTGGGGTGGCCACTGGCGCTGTTTCCCCCTACTGCAGATGCCATCTTTAATGGCATTATGTTTTTTCAGTATATGATCCTTTTATAACCCTAGCTAATGCTGTAAATTGACAAATGTTTTGTTAATTTAACTCCATATTGCACCCACTCTCAATGATTGCATTCCTCTAGAGAATTATAATACCATTTTGTTTAGTGTATTTCGTCTCTTTTTACGTCTATAGAAAACCTGCACCATCTGCCAAATGCTGCTACCTAACGCGTGTAGCTTCGCGTCGCACCAACGAATCCACCAGCACAAGTCTCCCTACATCTGCCCTGAGTGTGGATCAATCTGCCGTTCAATCCACTTCCAGTCCCATGTGACCAGGAACTGTCTGCACTACACCCGCAGGGTGGGCTACCGGTCAGTCTGACATCACTTCCTGCCTGAACAGGAAACACTTCTGTATAGCTTGTTACCATGGTTCCTCTTCTTCTCTAGAGATTTTCTTCATAAGCAGTCAGATGACTTTTGGTTAAAAGGTCCACTCACTCAGGTAGACGTAGCAATATGACATCATACAGAAGGGCGACTTTCTGCCTACAGAAATCAACAGCAACGAAATGATAAGCTGCCAAGACTGCCAACATCGGCTCCTCCCAATGTGGAGGGTGCACACTGGGAAAAGCCGATACTGCAGTGGTTACCATGACAGATTTGAATTATGTTGTTGTTGAATTGCCCCGCTGTGTTTGATAATGTCACCTTTAAGTCTCCACACTGAAAATAATGTATTTCACCTATCAAGGTGCCACTTACAGCTCTCTCATAGCCATTGCTAATCACAGTAATTACAATGTCAGTTGATTTGTAACTTGCCTTGAGTATCAAAATCATCCAAAATGTTGAGTTAAAAGGTCTCTCTTTTTTCTTCCCCTCTCTCTCTCTCCAGCTGTGTGCACTGTAACGTCATCTACGCTGACGTGGCCGCTCTGAAGACTCACATCCAGAGCTCTCACTGTGAGATCTTCTACAAGTGTCCAATCTGCCCCATGGCCTTCAAGTCTGCCCTTGGCACACACTCCCACGCACACACACAGCACCCTGGGGTCAAGATAGGAGAGCCCAAGTAAGTCTCTTCAGATTCTCATAACCCATTATTCATGTGGGGTGGCTTGCGAAAGTATTCACCCCCCTTGGCATATTTTGTTGCCTTACAACCTGGAATTAAAATTGATTTTTTTTGGGGGGGGGGGTTGTATCATTTCATTTACACAACATGCCTAACACTTTGAAGATGCAAAATATTTTTTCTTGTGAAACAAACTGAACTTGAGCGTGCATAACTATTCAACCAACCTCCCCCCCCCCCCCCCCCAAAGTCAATACTCTGTAGAGCCACCTTTTGCAGCAATTACAGCTGCAAGTCTCTTGGAGTATGTCTCTATAAGCTTGGCACATCTAGCCACTGGGATTTTTTCCCATTCTTCAAGGCAAAACTGCTCCAGCTCCTTCAAGTTGGATGGGTTCTGCTGGTGTACAGCAATCTTTAAGTCTCAATTGGATTGAGGTCTGGGCTTTGACTAGGCCATTCCAAGACATTTAAATGTTTCCCCTTAAACCACTCAAGTGTTGCTTTAGCAGTATGCTTCGGGTCATTGTCCTGCTGGAAGGTGAACCTCCGTCCCAGTCTCAAATCTCTGGAAGACTGAAACAGGTTTCCCTCAAGAATTTCCCTGTATTTAGCACCATCCATCATTCCTTCAATTCTGACCAGTTTCCCAGTCCCTGCCGATGGAAAAACATCCCCACAGCATGATGCTGCCACCTCCATGCTTCATGGTGTTCTCGGGGTGATGAGAGGTGTTGGGTTTGCGCCAGACATAGCGTTTTCCTTGATGGCCAAAAGGCTCAATTTTAGTCTCATCTGACCAGAGTACCTTCTTCCATGTGTTTGGGGAGTCTCCCACATGCCTTTTGGCGAACACCAAACGTGTTTCTTATTTTTTCTTTAAGCAATGGCTTTTTTTCTGGCCACTCTTCCGTAAAGCCCAGCTCTGTGGAGTGTACGGCTTAAAGTGGTCCTATAGACAGATACTCCAATCTCCGCTGTGGAGCTTTGCAGCTCCTTCAGGGTTATCTTTGGTCTCTTTGTTGCTTCTCTGATTAATGCCCTCCTTGCCTGGTCCGTGAGTTTTGGTGGGCAGCCCTCTCTTGGCAGGTTTGTTGTGGTAACATATTCTTTCCATTTTTAAATAATGGATTTAATGGTGCTCCGTGGGATGTTCAAGGTTTTGGATATTTTTTTATAACCCAACCCTGATCTGTACTTCTCCACAACTTCGTCCCTGACCTGTTTGGAGAGCTCCTTGATCTTCATGGTGCCGCTTGCTTCGGTGGTGCCCCTTGCTTAGTGGTGTTGCAGACTCTGGGGCCTTTCAGAACAGGTGTATATATACTGAGATCATGTGACAGATCATGTGACACTTAGATTGCACACAGGTGGACTTTATTTAACTAATTATATGACTTCTGAAGGTAATTGGTTGCACCAGATCTTATTTAGGGGCTTCATAGCAAAGGTGGTGAATACATATGCACGCACCACTTTTCCGTGATTTATTTGTTCGAATTTTTTGAAACAAGTAATTTTTTCCATTCCACTTCACCAATTTGGACTATTTTGTGTATGTCCATTACATGAAATCCAAATAACAATCCATTTAAATTACAGGTTGTAATGTAACAAAATAGGAAAAAAGCCAAGGGGGATGAATAGTTTTGCAAGGCACTGTATTCTAGTATACATCATCAACTTCTTTTATCAAAACGTAATATTATCCTAGAATGTTTTCATTCTATGTTGAAGACCTTAGTATATTCTATTAAATAGATTCCATTCTAGTTGTTCTGTTCTGTTCTATGCTATTCTATCACTGATTGGAAAGGTGACACAAACATCCTCAGTTCTTTACCACAAATTTAAAAAGAAAATACAGCTTTAATGAGGGAAAGTTATCCGATATCCATGTCCAAATCATGTTCCTGTCAGAACCGTCTTCATTCTCCATGTTGAATGGGTTTGTGTTGATGTTATTAGACACAGTAGCTTTGACTGAGTGTTTTCCAATACCCTGACCTTCTACTAACACCTGTCTGTCCATCAACACACTCTAATGAACACACACACACTAATGAATTAACCTGTTCAGGAGCAGGTGGCAGGTGGTCCCTCATACAGACAGCGCTACCAGGGCAAGTGATACACCTTTTGAACTGACGGATTGTGTTTTAAATAAATAATGAACTCCTATTATGGACATTAACATTATTAAGTCTATTAAGTGGACATGAATAGGTGCTGTCGTGTCGTATACAACGCATTCGTTTTTAGATAACATTCATTTTATTCCTTTTTTCTGTACACAGGATTTAATGAACTCGTTCGTTCTATCAAGCAACATGTCTCTCAAAGTGAAAATGTTGTTAAAGCGTTGTCTTTGTGTTGTCTTCCAGGTTGATCTACAAGTGTTCCATGTGTGATACGGTGTTCACCCAGCAGACGCTGCTCCAGTCACACTTCGACCAACACATAGCCAACCAGAAGGTGTCTGTCTTCAAATGCCCAGACTGCTCCATGCACTATGCCCAGAAACAGCTCATGTTGGACCACATCAAGGTACTGTACAGAGGGAAATATAATAATCTTCTCAAGTGGGAAAATTACTTATAAAACCCTCCAGTCGGAAGCTTATTATATTAACAGGCACTTCTGTTTTTCAGCAAATTATTTAAATCTACTACAATGTAATGACAAGTACTTGAAATATAACTGTTTATAATCTTAATCAACAATTTATTAATTATAAGTAATGTATGCGCACATGACTGACTGTAAGTCGCTTTGGATAATAGCGTCTGCTAAATGGCATATTATTATTATATTATTATCCTGAGTGGCGCAGTGTTCTAAGGCACTGCATCGCAGTGCTAGCTGTGCCACTAGAGATCCTGGTTCGAATCCAGGCTCTGTTGTAGCCGGCCGCGACCGGGAGACCCATGGGGCAGCGCACAATTGGCCCAGGGTAGGGGAGGGAATGGCCGGCAGGGATGTAGCTCAGTTGGTAGAGCATGGCGTTTGCAACGCCAGGGTTATGGGTTCGATTCCCACGGGGGGCCAATAAAAAATATATTTAAAAAAAAATGTATGCACTCATTAACTGTAAGTCGCTCTGGATAAGAGCGTTTGCTAAATGACGTAAATGTAAATTATAATTGTCCTTGTGCAATCCATGACTGTATGAATACAGTTGAAGTCGGAAGTTTACATACACTTAGGTTGGAGTCATTAAAACTCGTTTTTCAACCACTCCACATATTTTTTGTTAACAAACTATAGTTTTGGCAAGTCTGTTAGGACATCTACTTTGTGCATGACACAAGTAGTTTTTCCAACAATTGTTTACAGACAGATTATTTCACTTATAATTCACTGTATCACAATTCCAGTGGGTCAAAAGTTTACATACACTAAGTTGACTGTGCCTTTAAACAGCTTGGAAAATTCCAGAAAATGATGTCATGGCTTTAGAAGCTTCTGATAGGCTAATTGACATAATTTGAGTCAATTGGAGATGTACCTGTGGATGTATTTCAAGGCCTACCTTCAAACTCAGTGCCTCTTTGCTTGACATCATGGGAAAATCAAAAGAAATCAGCCAAGACCACAGAAAAAATATTGTAGACCTCCACATTCTGGTTCATTCTTGGGAGCAATTTCCAAACGCCTGAAGGTACCACGTTCATCTGTACAAACAATAGTACGCAAGTATAAACACCATGGGACCACGCAGCTGTCATACTGCTCAGGAAGGAGATGCGTTCTGTCTCCTAGAGATGAACGTACTTTGGTGCGAAAAGTGCAAATCAATCCCAGAACAACAGCAAAGGACCTTGTGAAGATGCTGGAGGAAACGGGTACAAAAGTATCTATATCCACAGTAAAACGAGTCCTATATCGACATAACCTGAAAGGCCGCTCAGCAAGGAAGAAGCCACTGCTCCAAAACCGCCATAAAAAAGCCAGACTACTGTTTGCAACTGCACATGGGGACAAATATCGTACTTTTTGGAGAAATGTCCTCTGGTCTGATTAAACAAAAATATAACTGTTTGCCCATAATGACCATCGTTATGTTTGGAGGAAAAAGGGGGTTGCTTGCAAGCCGAAGAACACCATCCCAACCGTGAATATCGGGGGTGGCAGCATCATGCTGTGGGGGTGCTTTGCTGCAGGAGGGACTGGTGCACTTCACAAAATAGATGGCATCATGAGGAAGGAAAATTATGTGGACATCAGTCAGGAAGTTAAAGCTTGGTTGCAAATGGGTCTTCCAAATGGACAATGACCCCAAGCATACTTCCAAAGTTGTGGCAAAATGGCTTAAGGACAACAAAGTCAAGGTATTGGAGTGGCCATCACAAAGCCCTGATTTCAATCCTATAGAAAATGTGTGGGCAGAACTGAAAAAGCGTGTGCGAGCAAGGAGGCCTACAAACCTGACTCAGTTACACCAGCTCTGTCAGGACGAATTGGCCAAAATTCACCCAACTTATTGTGGGAAGCTTGTGGAAGGCTACCCAAAACGTTTGACCCAAGTTAAACAATTTAAAGGCAATGCTACCAAATACTAATTGAGTGTATGTACACCTCTGACCCACTGGGAATGTGATGAAATAAATAAAAGCTGAAATAAATAATTCTCTCTACTATTATTCTGACATTTCACATTCCTAAAATAAAGTGGTGATCCTAACTGACCTAAGACAGGGAATTTGTACTAGGATTAAATATCAGGAATTGTGAAAAACTGAGTTTAAATGTATTTGGCTAAGGTGTATGTAAACTTCCGACTTCAACTGTAGTTAATCTGCCTGTTAGTGAACCGGAGCTGGTTGTCATCCTGGTTGTCATCCTGTCTGTCATCCTGGTTGTCATCCTGGTTGTCATCCTGTCTGTCATCCTGGTTGTCATCCTGTCTGTCATCCTGGTTGTCATCCTGTTCATCATCCTGTTTGTCATCCTGGTTGTCATCCTGTCTGTCATCCTGGTTGTCATCCTGGTTGTCATCCTGTCTGTCATCCTGTCTGTCATCCTGGTTGTCATCCTGGTTGTCATCCTGTTTGTCATCCTGGTTGTCATCCCTGTGTAGACGATGCATGGGACCCTAAAGACCATCGAGGGTCCCCCCAACCTGGGTATCAACCTGCCCCTCAGCTCCAGCCCCAACACCAACAGCACCAACAACGGTCTGGACAGGGTAGACAAGAATGCCCCCTCTAACCCCCTGAAAAAGGCCAAGATCACCCCTACCTCAGCCCCCCAGAGGCCACCTGCCCCAGGCTGGACATGTGGAGACTGTGACCGTGTCTTCATCCAGAGAGAGGTGTTCGTAGCCCACGTCAGACAGGAGCATGGCAAGGTACAGTAGAGTCCTAGTTGGAATCCCAACTCAACCCCTAGCCAGTACCCCGTTGTACATGTGAACTCAAGCCCTAGCCAGTACCCCGTTGTCCATGTGAACTCAACCCCTAGCCAGTACCCCGTTGTCCATGTGTAGATCTGAGGATTGGAAAGGTCTAAACTATGTGGTGACAGTAATAAAAACCGTAACTGTTAAATGTTCTATTTGTTCTCTGTGGATGCAGCAACTGAAGAAGCACCCGTGCCGACAGTGTGACAAGTCGTTCAGCTCCTCCCACAGCTTGTGTCGACACAACAGGATCAAGCACAAGGGGCTGCGCAAGGTCTACTCCTGCCTGTGAGTAATGCGGGATTGGATGACATTTTTGGGAGGTAGATTTTTGGGTTCGGTTATTTTGTCGTTTGTTACTAGAACATATGAATTTAACATACAGTACCAGTCAAAAGTTTGGACACACCTACTCATTCAAGGGTTTTTATTTATTTTTACTATTTTCTACATTGTAGAATAATAGTGAAGACATCAAAACTATGAAATAACACATATGGAATCATGTAGTAACCAAAAAAGTGTTAAACAAATTAAAATATATTTTATATTTGAGATTCTTCAAAGTAGCCACCCTTTGCCTTGATGACAGCTTTGCACACTCTTGGCATTCTCTCAACCAGCTTCATGAGGTAGTCACCTGGAATGCATTTCAATTAACAGGTCTGCCTTGTTAAAAGTTAATTTGTGGAATTTCTTTCCTTCTTAATGCGTTTGAGCCAGTCAGTTGTGTTGTGACAAGGTAGAGGTGGTATACAGAAGATAGCCCTATTTGTTAAAAGACCAAGTCCATATTATGCTCAAATAAGCAAAGAGAAAAGACAGTCCATCATTACTTTAAGATATGAAGGTCAGTCAATCTGGAACATTTCAAGAACTTTGCAGTCGCAAAAACCATCAACCGCTATGATGAAACTGGCTCTCATGAGGACCGCCACAGGAAAGGAAGACCCAGAGTTACCTCTGCTGCAGAAGATAAGTTAATTACAGTTACCAGCCTCAGAAATTGCAGCCCAAATAAATGCTTCACAGAGTTAAAATAACAGACACACCTCAACATCAACTGTTCAGAGGAGACTGCTTGAATCAGGCCTTCATGGTCGAATTGCTGCAAAGAAACCACTACTAAAGGACACCAATAATAAGAAGAGACTTGCTTGGGCCAAGAAACACGAGCAATGGACATTAGACCGGTGCAAATCTGTCCTTTGGTCTGATGAGTCCAAATTTGAGATTTTTTGTTCCAACCTCTGTGTCTTTGTGAGACGCAGAGTAGGTGAACGGATGATCTCTGCATGTGTGGTTCCCACCGTGAAGCATGGAGGAAGAGGTGTGATGGTGTGGGGGTGCTTTGCTGGTGACACTGTCTGTGATTTATTTAGAATTCAAGGCACACTTAACCAGCATGGCTACCACAGCATTCTGCAGTGATACGCCATCCCATCTGGTTTGGGCTTAATGGGACTATCATTTGTTTTTCAATAAAACAATGACCCAACACACCTCCAGGCTGTGTAAGTGCTATTTGACCAAGAAGGAGAGTGATGGAGTGCTGCATCAGATGACCTGGCCTCCACAATCACCCGACCTCAACCCAATTGAGATGGTTTGGGATGAGTTGGACTGCAGAGTGAAGGATAAGCAGCCAACAAGTGCTCAGCATATGTGGGAACTCCTTCAAGACTGTTGGAAAAGCATTCCAGGTGAAGCTGGTTGAGAGAATGCCAAGAGTGTGCAAAGCTGTCATCAAGGCAAAGGGTGGCTACTTTGAAGAAACTAAAATCTAAAATATATTTTGATTTGTTTAACACTTTTTTGGTTACTACATGATTCCATATGTGTTATTTCATAGTTTCGATGTCTTCACTATTATTCTACAATGTAGAAAATAGTAAAAAATAAAGAAAAACCCTTGAATGAGTAGGTGTGTCCAAACTTTTTACTGGTACTGTGCATGCGGATGCACAACTATTCAGTCTACACAGATTCAATAGGGCAACACATTCCTGTGATGACATGTCAGCATTTTATAGGTTAAATGTTCACGGCCTCTTCTCTTAGAACTCTCTCTCTCTCTTTATATGACTCCACAGTCACTGTCCAGACCCCAACCGTACGTTTACTAAGCGTGTGATGCTGGACAAACACATCCAGTTGATGCATGGTGGTATTAAAGATGCTGAGGGGAAGACGGCACCAGACCCAGCACACACAGAGGACAGCCCTCCTGACAAGGTACAGTAACTGACCAATGAGCTGCACCCACGATCCATAGTTTGTGCTATTCTACTCCCTGATACTGTGACCAGGATTCAAAGAAACGCAGATTAATGGCTTGTGCACTGCTATTGATTTTTAAAGGTGATTTGTGTTTGAGCTAACATTTTAAAACAAACGAGATCTCTGCGAACATGAGGGAATTTGCCTCTAAAAGTAATGGCAATACAAAGGTGGTTTATCTGTGTTGGATTGAATGCAAACCTGTACATGCAGCATACCTCATGTCCCTATTTTGCCCCCTGCAGGCCCTCAGCCCCAAAAGGAAGCAGCAGGATGACGAGGGGCCTCCCGGTCCTCGCTCCAGGGGCTCCACACCCGCCCAGCCCCTGAAGAAGCTGAAGGTCAACGTTTTCAAGGTCCACAAGTGTGCCGTGTGCAGCTTCAGCACCGAGGACCTGGTCACCTTCCACGACCACATTCCACAGCACAAGTCGGATGGATCCTCCTTCCAGTGCAGGGAGTGTGGTCTGTGCTACACTTCTCCCCGCTCCCTGGCCCGACATCTTTTCATCATCCACAAGCAGAAGGAGCCGCGGGAGCTAGCCAGACGTAACGGAACCGCTGCAGCCGATGAGAACCAAAGAGAGAACCAGTTGGGTTCCGGCTCGGGGGACGGCCTGGACGACGGGACGCCTGAGACCAAATGTAAAGTGTGTGGCAAGATGTTTGAGACGGAGGGGAGTTTGAACACACACATGAGGACACACGGCATGGCCTTTATCAAGTCTAAGAGACTGAATGCAACAGAGAAATAGAGAAGGAGAAGCCTAGTCGGGACACTGTTGTTGAAGCATAGTGGCATCTACCAGAATGTTGTCTCTGACCAAATTTGCCTCAAAATGTTGCATTGTAAATGCTAGAGTACGAATAAGACATTCTCCATTGACTCCTCTACCCACATATATGAAATATATAGTATATACACAATATATATACACACATTTCTAATGTGTTTTAAAATATGTAATATATTTAAAGTAAATGTATGTGTATTTAAATCAATCTATGAGATAACATTTTGTACACTTTACGATATAGATGTTTCTATGGATGTTGGATAGATCTTTTGTAGGAAAATGTTTATTTTAAAAAGGTTTGGAATTGTTGTCTTCTCACTAGTATGGGAAAGTGTTAGATACTGTATAAATGTTTATGTTATGGGAGATTAATCCTCAACTATTGGCAGTGTTCCGTTTTATAACTTCTGCTAATATCCATGGAATGTCTGAAGAAACTAGCCTGGCCCCAGATCTGTTTGTCCTGTCAACTCCTATGGTTATTGCCTATGCAGTACAAACCAATCTGGACTCAGCTTATAAAGAAACACTTTATATCAGCATGACTTTGTCATCCTCACAGGGGTTGGGTCAATTCTGTTTCAATTCTGTCAATTCAGTCAATTCTAGAATTGACTCAATTGACTGAATAGAATGGATTTGACCCTAACTCTGCTCATATTGTCAGGACAATCAGTCCAGACTCCAGAACAGACTGCACGACAGTAGCCTGTCTATTTCACACCTCTATTTCATCAGTCTATGGGCCAATTCGTGCTTTTCTTTGTTTAAAGAGGCCGGAGACATTTTGTTTCAGAATGTCTCGGAATGTTTGTCTTTTTAATTTCCTTATTCTCTGGCAGCTCAGTTTTGATGATAATTGAGTTATGGTGATAGCAACTTGTCTTTCTTTGCATGTATACACAGATACAGTATATAGCCTTCTGCCTTTTAATTGACCATACTGTATGTCAGCCTTTTCATTTGGCCAAATGAACAAGATTACACTGGCTAATAGTTATGATTCTGGATATCCTGAGCACCAAGTGTGCCATTTGGAAGGTTGTAAAGTGCCATTTCTCTGATCAGAGTTCAGAGTGTAAACAAACCAATAAAATAGAAAAATACTTGCCTTCGCATTAAAGAATGTCAATGTGAATGTGAGACTGGAATTGAAAACCATTTCCTCATTTCAGTGTCTTTACATTTCAAGATGTGTTTTACATTTGAAAAGAGAAAATGAATTGTACAAGAAAACAATCGTGATAAAACATTTTATTCCCATGTTTTCTTTTTCTTTTTTTTTCTTGTCATGTTTTCATAAAAGGACACGTTGTTTTTGGAAGTAACTTTTTTATACTATGAAAATGAAATATGAATCTATTTGTGTAGAGCAACACGTGCATGAGAGAAGCTGTCAATGGTTCTTATTTGTTTTTTAGAATGTGTCTTGCTGCTTGTTCGCTAGAGATGTCTGATGTTTCTGTAGGAGCGGTTCTTGATGTCAATAATAAATTATGAACTCTGCCCCTGATGTGTGACCTGATGTCTACTGCACATGATCAGACATCAGCCCCTCCTAGGGAAATGCATTACAATGGCTCTCTCTACTGCCATCTAATGCTGAGATAATACACTATATGATATAATGATGAGTTTCCTTCCACCATATAGTATTTTACCCGTCAAGTCTTTTCCAGTCAGTGCAGATGAAGGGGAGGAGAGGATGGCTGTTTAAGCAATTAGTACCACTGACTGAGTCTCGTCTTCGCTGCTACGGTCTCTCCCTCCTCTTCCCTGCTACAGTATATCCTTCCTCTTCACTGCTACGGTCTCCCCCTCCTTCACCTTCCCTGCTACAGTCTCTTCCTCCTCTTCCCTGCTTCAGTCTCTCCTTCCTCTTCCCTGCTACAGTCTCTCCCTCCTCTTCCCTGCTTCAGTCTCTCCTTCCTCTTCCCTGCTACAGTCTCCCCCTCCTCTTCCCTGCTTCAGTCTCCCCCTCCTCTTCCCTGCTACAGTCTCTCCCTCCTCTTCCCTGCTACAGTATATCCTTCCTGTCCCCTGCTACAGTCTCTCCTTCCTCTTCCCTGCTACAGTCTCTCCTTCCTCTTCCCTGCTACGGTCTCTCCTTCCTCTTCCCTGCCATAGTCTCCCCCTTCCTCTTCCCTGCTACAGTCTCCCCCTCCTCTTCCCTGCTACAGTCTCTACCTCCTCTTCCCTGCTACGGTCTCCCCCTCCTCTTCCCTGCTACAGTCTCTACCTCCTCTTCCCTGCTACAGTCTCTCCTTCCTCTTCCCTGCCACAGTCTCTCCCTCCTCTTCCCTGCTATGGTTTCTCCCTCATCTTCCTTGCTATGGTTTCTCCCTCCTCTTCGCTGCTACGGTCTCTCCTTCCTCTTCCCTGCTATAGTCTCTCCCTCCTCTTTCCTGCTTCACCTTCCCTGCTACAGTCTCTCCTTCCTCTTCCCTGCTACAGTCTCTCCCTCCTCTTCCCTGCTACTGTCTCCCCCTTCCTCTTCCCTGCTACGGTCTCCCCCTCCTCTTCCCTACTACAGTCTCCCCCTCCTCTTCCCTACTACAGTCTCCCCCTCCTCTTCCCTACTACAGTCTCCCCCTCCTCTTCCCTGCTACAGTCTCCCCCTTCCTCTTCCCTGCTCTCTCTTTCTCTCCTCTCTCTCTCCTTCAGTGCTGTATGATGTATGTTAGTCCCGTCCAAGGCTGTCATTAGGACACACAGTGATACATGTGTTGACGTCAAGCAAGCAGTTTAACGGACGTCTTAACTGCCAATTACATCCATGTTATGAGTCACATTTGACCTTCAACACACATGATTAACTAATTTCCTGTCCAAAATGTATAATTGTTCTTCATGGGATTTGAATTGCAATTAGATTAGATTAACAATTTAGTGACACCATAACGATTGAATACAAGCCCGTATGGCCTCACTAATCAGTAAATATTATGAGAGAAGTCCGTGATTGCTTTATGAATAAATGTTTGAATGAATGATAATTGTGATGAAAGACCATTACATGTATCAGTTGGACCAAAAGCCACTGACAGCTGGTTTAGTGTGCCAGGAGACTGGTCGCTCACTTCCATGTGTGAAGCCACCAATTACCACACTGATTGGTCAAGCTACATATTACCTAACCGGAAGTCATCATCACTTCCACTGTGACCATGTAACGCTTAACATTATTTAAAGGTCCTAGTCACGAAAAGGAAGGATGCTATCCTCCCCAAGATGGTGCTGCTGTGGGGGGCTAGATGTATGGTCCACTGCTTAACGGTGTGTGCTGTAGCAGTATATTCCATGAATGTCTCTGAGAAATGCACCCAGGACACCAGGACTTTTCTCTCAGAGCTAAACAAGGACCTGCCCAGTGAATATGCTGCTTTAAGTGAGTACTTGACCTCTATTTGAAAAATAAAAGGTTTTCTTATTGTTGAGATGTGATTGAAGAAAGAAAGGACTGACTATTTACAGTTTAGCAAAAAGGCTTTATTTGATCCTTTTCTCATGGTCTGGTTACTTACAACAAATATTTTAGGCAAAACCTATTTTAATGTTAATTGAATTAATAGTTCATTATTTCTCTGACAACATTTATTGTCAGAGACGTGACTGCATTAGTTTGAAACAACATTTCAAATGTTTTCTCCGTGTTCTAAGATATCTCATCGCTTGGTGTAGCAATCGCTCATTTGTATGTGTATGTTTGTGTACATGTAGTGTATGATGCCTTTGGGAAGATGGGTAGTGATGTGGCGGGGGGCAATGTGAACAGGCCTGGGTCTCTCCAGGAGTGTCTGTCTGTCCAGGGACCCTCCTTTACTGGACAGTACTGCCAGGTCTTCCTGAAACAAGTGAGGAAATAAACCTTTTTTTTTATATATATAGCCACACAACTACAACTCTCCATTGTAGTGTTCTGTTCTATTATATGTTATTGTATTGTATTGTATTCTATTCTATTCTAACTACAGTATTCAGATAAATGAATTACAGTACCATAATGTTGTTCTGACACAGGACCCAATCCAGTACTTTGTTGGAATATGTGTTCCTGATTCCTGTGTGGAAGAGGAGGTGCAGACACTAGTTGTTTACGGTCAGTAGCTTTGTCTGCATTAAGCGTTACTTACAATAGCATGAATAACATTTATAATTATCCATAAAGCATTTATGAACAGTTATAAGCATTTTTATGCCTCCCTTCATTGTTATTGTGACGTGTACACGTTGTGTCTGTGTCCCCAGAGACCTTCCAGCAGGCCAGGACCTCCCTGATCCCTCCAGTACCGTCATTTCTAGTGGCCCAGTCCACTCAGGGCCTGTTCATGACCCGCTGTCTGTCCCGTACTGGTGCTCCAGACCTGTCTGTTGTCACCTGCCTGTGAGTACAGTTCAACCTAACCCCTGACCCCTGACCCCTGCCACTGACCCCGGTGTCTAACTCATACTGGTGCTCCAGACCTGTCTGTTGTCACCTGCCTGTAAGTCATAACTCTAACCCTAACCCCAACCCTATCGAATCTGCGTAGATGAGATACTTACAAAAAGGATTTCATTCTAAGTATCTAACTAACATTCACCTGCTGTAATCGTCTAAAATAAACGGGCCAAAAAAAGTGATCTAGGACATGCCCCCAGATAGTCCAAAAACTCAAATCCAGAAGTCCAAGAAAGTGATTTGGGATGTCTGACTATGTCCCCATCCGTCCGTCAGGTTTGTGTGTTGTGTGCTAGTGGCCGTCCCCTTGACTGCGACCCTGTTCGTGGCCATAGTGAGGTGGCAGAGAAACAGAGAGGTCAGCCCTGGAGTGGAGTCTTCTTCTCTGAAAACCAGGGACCCAAACCTCTACGGGACCCTGATGTCCAACGGCACCCCCAGTGGTGGAGGTAGTAACAACAGCTGCTCTGGACAACTGGACAGCCAGATGGAGCAATACACAGAGGAGGAAGAGGAAGAGGAGGACGAGGGCAGCAAGAAGAGTATGTACAGCATGCTTTATAATAGACTACACCACAAATCTACAAAACCACTGGACTACCTGATGTTTTGTCTGGGATATATTTTTCATATTTATTAATACTGAACTTTGTTCGATCTCAGAAAAAAAAATGTTTTGTTGGAGGTGAAAAAAAGTTTTATTGCAGGTGAAAAAGTGTCATTGCAGGTGAACAAAATGTTTTATTGCAGGTGAAAAAATGTCATTGCAGGTGAAAAAATGATTTATTGCAGGTGAAAAAGTGTCATTGCAGGTGAAAAAGTGTCATTGCAGGTTAAAAAAAAAGTGTCATTGCAGGTGAAAAAGAGTAATTGCATACATCAACAAAAAGTGTACACTGGAATGATTTGTCCTTCCTAACTAACCCACACTTCTGCTGTCTGCCTGCAGGTTGTATGTACTCGTGGCTCCAGGCCTTCTCTTTCCAGGCCTGCAGCCAGGAGGTCCTTTCTACAACCAGCCCAGGTGGAGGCTACTCCTCCCTGAATGGGATCCGCATCCTTAGCCTCCTATGGATCGTCTGTGGACACACCGTCCAGCTCAGCGCCTGGAACAACCTAGGTATGTCTCAGAAGAAATACTCACTCTCTGTACTGTAGCAATTCTTGCGCCAATGAAGCAATTATTGAAAACCGCGACAGTGTAACGCCCCTTGCGGGTCTCAAACCCAGGTCTCACAGCTTGTAGGCAGACCTGCCAACCACTGCTCCAATAAGGGTTAACCCTTTTGGGGTGGATTGTTACAGGCCTACCTAGGCAAGGCTTGTTACAACGCTATCTACCGTAAAACTTTAAATTAATAGCCCAGCGTTTATTTGCTTCAATCACTGAACACAACAGGTGCTTATTAGAGACAGGCTTCAATTTGAGCCCATCGTGGAAAACCCATTGCGCTCGAGGAAAACCCATTGCGCTCGAGGAAAACCCATTGCGCTCGAGGAAAACCCATTGCGCTTCGAGGAAAACCCACTGTGCTCGAGGAAAACCCATTGCGCTTCGAGGAAAACCCACTGTGCTCGAGGAAAACCCATTGTGCTCGAGGAAAACCCATTGCGCTCGAGGAAAACCCATTGCGCTCGAGGAAGACCCATTGCGCTCGAGGAAGACCCATTGCGCTCGAGGAAGACCCATTGCGCTCGAGGAAGACCCATTGCGCTTGAGGAAGACCCATTGCGCTCGAGGAAGACCCATTGCGCTTGAGGAAGACCCATTGTGCTCGAGGAAGACCCATTGCGCTCGAGGAAGACCCATTGCGCTCGAGGAAGACCCATTGCGCTCGAGGAATTTGTCAAGCCAGCCTTTACTAGCAGCGAAGTCAGAGGCCCCACTGTCACTCACAGTGGTGTACAGTAGATCTACTTTGCTTTCACCCGGATCATCTTGCAGGACACCCGGAGTCGGCTTTTGCGGGAATATCAGAGTGGTGTCCATGGTAACCTCATAAACAATTAATTTAGACCTGCCATTTATTTGAAACAGGCGTTTATTTGCTGAAATGTGTGCCGATGCCCAGCTATCAAAAGGGACAGGCGTCTATTTGATGCTCAGCGTTTAATTGAAGTTTTACGGTATACTATCCTATCTATCTAAAATACTTGATGTATGAATTGGATATTAATATCAGCTATTTACAGATACAGATATACAATTCACTGATTACAGATAATGAAAAGAGATGGAAAGAGACAGTGGAGAAAAACCCTCTGCATGTGTTTGCCTTCAGTGGACCTGTCTATCTGGCTGTGGATACCTTTCTGCTCCTAGGGTGAGAACACGGCCCAGTTCAACTACACTCTTAGAAAAAAAGGCGCTATCTAGAACCTTAAAGGGTTCTTCGGCTGTCCCCATAGCATAACCCTTTTTGGTTGCAGGTAGAACTCTTTTGGTTCCAGGTAGAACCCTTTTGGGTTCCATGTAGAACCGTTTCTAAAGAGGGTTCTACATGGAACTCAAAAGGGTTCTACCTGGAACCAAAAAGGGTTCTCCTATGGGGACAGCTGAAGAACCCTTTTGGAACCCTTTTTTCTAAAAGTGTACTGCATCCTTGCATCATTCCTTCCTCATCTTCCTTGAAGTAATCCCTGATCTCTGCACCTGTCTGGTCTGTGTCCCAGGGGTCTTCTGAGTGCAAGGTCCCTGCTGGGGTCCATCCAGAGAGCGGAGGACAAACTGAGTCCAGGTCTGGTGGCCAACTTCCTCTTCAAGAGGTTTAAAAGGTAGATCCATCACTCCTCAACCGTTATTTAACCAGGAGAGACGCTCAGAGCTAAGTGTAAGGGTGACCTGGATCTGTTTCTAGAACCGTGCTTTTCTTTACTGATCATTATTGATCTGTTATTGTCCCTCCCTCCCAGAGTCCAGCCGCTGCACCTCTTCATCATGTGTCTCGCTATCGGCCTCTTCTCTGTGGTCCAGAGAGGTGCATTCTGGTTCATCGCCGAGGACGAGATCAGCAACTGTAAAAAGTACTGGTGGTCCAACCTGCTACTGGTCAACAACCTATTGACCATCACCGACATAGTGAGAATAACCCTAACCCCTGACCCTAACCACTACCCTAACCCTAAACCTACAGCTAACCTTACCCCTAACCCTAGCTTACTACTGGTCTACAACCTCTTCACCATCATTGACATAGTGAGCCTTTTAGATAACCTGTAACTGTCATTTCCTTAGCGGTAGTAGTACTACACTGACATGTTTGGACTGGTAGTAGCCACTACACTACAATACAACTTTATTCATCCCTGAGGGGCAATTCGTTCAGGGCTGACAGGGTGCTTCAGACAGGACAAACACACACAGACAGACAGCAAAAATAAAAAATAAAATCTATGACTGTTGGTTATAACTGAGATAATGTAGAGGTCATCTGTCATTATCTATGACTGTTGGTTATGACTGAGATAATGTAGAGGTCATCTGTCATTATCTATGACTGTTGGTTATGACTGAGATAATGTAGAGGTCATCTGTCATTATCTATGACTGTTGGTTATAACTGAGATAATGTAGAGGTCATCTGTCATTATCTATTACTGTTGGTTATGACTGAGATAATGTAGAGGTCACCTGTCATTATCTATGACTGTTGGTTATGACTGAGATAATGTAGAGGTCATCTGTCATTATCTATGACTGTTGGTTATGACTGAGATAATGTAGAGGTCATCTGTCATTATCTATGACTGTTGGTTATAACTGAGATAATGTAGAGGTCATCTGTCATTATCTATTACTGTTGGTTATGACTGAGATAATGTAGAGGTCATCTGTCATTATCTATGACTGTTGGTTATGACTGAGATAATGTAGAGGTCATCTGTCATTATCTATGGCTGTTGGTTATGACTGAGATAATGTAGAGGTCATCTGACATTATCTATGGCTGTTGGTTATGACTGAGATAATGTAGAGGTCATCTGTCATTATCTATGGCTGTTGGTTATGACTGAGATAATGTAGAGGTCATCTGTCATTATCTATGACTGTTGGTTATGACTGAGATAATGTAGAGGTCATCTGTCATTATCTATGACTGTTGGTTATGACTGAGATAATGTAGAGGTCATCTGTCATTATCTATGACTGTTGGTTATGACTGAGATAATGTAGAGGTCATCTGTCTCCACAGTGTGCTCCATGGACCTGGTATCTGTCCCTGGATTTCCAGTTCTATGCAACAACCCCCCTGCTCATCTACCTCTATAGACTGTAAGTAATTCACACTGCAAAATGGCTATTATAATATATCTTTCTCAATAAATTAATAGTCACAAATGCCCTTCTCGCTCTTGTCTTTCAGGAACAAAGGTGTTCTGGTTGGCGTGGCTTCAGCTCTGCTGTTTCTGTCCAGCCTGACCAGTGCTTTACTCACTGCCCTCCTGCACCTCCCAGTTCACCAGCCTACCACACTGTAAGTTACCCAGCCTACCACACTGTAAGTTACCCAGCCTACCACACTGTAAGTTACCCAGCTTACCACACTGTAAGTTCACCAGCCTACCACACTGTAAGTTACCCAGACTACCACACTGTAAGTTACCCAGCCTACCACACTGTAAGTTACCCAGCCTACCACACTGTAAGTTACCCAGACTACCACACTGTAAGTTACCCAGCCTACCACACTGTAAGTTACCCAGACTACCACACTGTAAGTTCACCAGCCTACCACACTGTAAGTTACCCAGACTACCACACTGTAAGTTACCCAGCCTACCACACTGTAAGTTACCCAGACTACCACACTGTAAGTTACCCAGCCTACCACACTGTAAGTTACCCAGCCTACCACACTGTAAGTTACCCAGACTACCACACTGTAAGTTACCCAGCCTACCACACTGTAAGTTACCCAGCCTACCACACTGTAAGTTACCCAGACTACCACACTGTAAGTTACCCAGCCTACCACACTGTAAGTTACCCAGCCTACCACACTGTAAGTTACCCAGCCTACCACACTGTAAGTTACCCAGACTACCACACTGTAAGTTACCCAGCCTACCACACTGTAAGTTACCCAGCCTACCACACTGTAAGTTACCCAGACTACCACACTGTAAGTTACCCAGCCTACCACACTGTAAGTTACCCAGCCTACCACACTGTAAGTTACCCAGCCTACCACACTGTAAGTTACCCAGACTACCACACTGTAAGTTACCCAGCCTACCACACTGTAAGTTACCCAGCCTACCACACTGTAAGTTACCCAGACTACCACACTGTAAGTTCACTAGCCTACCACACTGTAAGTTACCCAGCCTACCACACTGTAAGTTCAACTGGTAACACTTTAACCAAATTATAAAGACATAATGAAGCCTTCATTGACCCATTATAATGACCTACAGAAATCATTAACACATGATTTATAAGAAAATGTAAAAATATATTAACTCAAACCAGATCAACTGTTACAGATATGAATCACCCAAAATGTCCAGTATAATGTATTCTGCTCCATTCCAACATTACCGTTGTTGTTTATGTTGTATATGGTCCAGAAAATATGAACGCTACTTCCAGTATTACTACAATAAACCGTACACCAGATACGGGCCCTACCTGATTGGGATCCTGGCAGGGATAAGCATGACGACTAAGAAAGGCCACCTTTTAAAACATCAGGTAATAACATGAAACAACTGAATAACCTTTGCCTGCTTTACACTCAGTGAACTCAGTTGACCTACCTTTACAATTTTGTGAACAGGGTTTACCCACTTTTTAACGCTACATAAGCGTTTGTTTTCTCTGCATAAAGGTTTACCTACCTGTGTTTCTTAACACTACATTTCTGTTTTGTTTCAATAATGTATCCCTCTCCTCTGCTGTGTATGTGTAACAAACTCAGTGGCAGGCTGCAGTAGGTTGGTTCTGCTGCCTGTCAGTTATGGCAGTGTTGGTAGGACTGGCCTATGTCCTCCGGGATGTCCCACCCCAGCCGTCTGCTCCTCACGCCCTCTACCAGGGGATCCATCGCTCCCTCTGGGCCCTGGCCGTGGCTTGGATCATACTGGCCTGTGAGGAGGGATACGGAGGTGAGACCTGAGCACTGACACCTCCACCTACCACAAAGACACATACATACTCTACTGAATAGACCTAGGGCTAGGAGTCTTTGATGACCATTTGATCTGACCGGTAAAAATCTGGGCCCTAGTCATTTGCTATATTAGAGTCTTAGTTACATATTTGAGCAAAGGATCAACGTTTTTCCTCATGTGGTCAGGAAAAATCCATGGCCCTAAAACAAACCCAGTCTTCAGTAACTGCCCTGTCTTCAGTAACTGCCCAGTCTTCAGTAACTGCCCAGTCTTCAGTAACTTCCCAGTCTTCAGTAACTGCCCAGTCTTCAGTAACTTCCCAGTCTTCAGTAACTGCCCTGTCTTCAGTAACTGCCCAGTCTTCAGTAACTGCCCAATCTTCAGTAACTGCCCAGTCTTCAGTAACTGCCCTGTCTTCAGTAACTTCCCAGTCTTCAGTAACTGCCCAGTCTTCAGTTACTGCCCTGTCTTCAGTAACTGCCCAGTATTCAGTAACTGCCCAGTCTTCAGTAACTGCCCTGTCTTCAGTAACTGCCCTGTCTTCAGTAACTGCCCTGTGTCTCTGACGGTCTCTCACATAATCTATTCTGTCCCTCTCTCTCTCTCTAGGATTCATTGATAACCTCCTGTCACTAAATCTGTGGGTTCCTCTGTCCAACATCAGCTTTGCCTGTTACCTGATCCATCCTATTCTTATTATACTGTACAACGGCAAGCAGGAGACTCCTATACACTACACAGACATGAACTTTGTGAGTATTTCACACAGTAGTAACCTACTCCCAGATAAGTGGCTGCTGCATAGCCAACTTCTATGGTTGTTATCATGCCCAAAATATAATATTATGCTTGAAATTGTTAGATATTACTTGTTAGATATTACTGCACTGTCGGAGCTAGAAGCACAAGCATTTCGCTACACCCGCAATAACATCTGCTAAACACGTGTATGTGACAAATAACATTTGATTTGATTTGATTTGAAGGAGATGAATCTTCCTGGGAATGATGTGTTGTTTTCCTTTGTTTTCTTCACCTCCTCAGTTCTATCTGTTCCTGGGTCACATGATTCTGACGGTGGTGATTGGCTATGTGCTGACCGTGTTGGTGGAGAAGCCCTACCTCTTCCTCAGGGGCAGTAAGGCTTAAGGACATGACCCCCCAGACCGTCCTCCCTAGGACATGACCCCCTAGACCGTCCTCCCTAGGACATGACCCCCTAGACCGTCCTCCCTAGGACATGACCCCTAGACCCCCCTCCCTAGGACATGACCCCTAGACCGTCCTCCCTAGGACATGACCCCTAGACCCCCCTCCCTAGGACATGACCCCCTAGACCCCCCTCCCTAGGACATGACCCCTAGACCCCCCTCCCTAGGACATGACCCCTAAACCCCCCCTCCCTAGGACATGACCCCCTAGACCGTCCTCCCTAGGACATGACCCCCTAGACCGTCCTCCCTAGGACATGACCCCCTAGACCGTCCTCCCTAGGACATGACCCCTAGACCCCCCTCCCTAGGACATGACCCCCTAGACCCCCCTCCCTTGGACATGACCCCCCTCCCTAGGACATGACACCTATACCCCCCTCCCTAGGACATGACCCCTAGACCCCCCTGCCTAGGACATGACCCCTAGACCCCCCTCCCTAGGACATGACCCCCCTCCCTAGGACATGACCCCTAGACCCCCCTCCCTAGGACATCACCCCTAGACCCCCCTCCCTAGGACATGACCCCCCTCCCTAGGACATGACCCCTAGACCGTCCTCCCTAGGACATGACCCCCTAGACCGTCCTCCCTAGGACATGACCCCTAGACCCCCCTCCCTAGGACATGACCCCTAGACCCCCCTCCCTAGGACATGACCCCTAGACCCCCCTCCCTAGGACATGACCCCCTAGACCGTCCTCCCTAGGACATGACCACCTAGACCGTCCTCCCTAGGACATGACCCCTAGACCCCCCTCCCTAGGACAAGACCCCTAGACCCCCCTGCCTAGGACATGACCCCTAGACCGTCCTCCCTAGGACATGACCCCTAGACCGTCCTCCCTAGGACATGACCCCTAGACCCCCCTCCCTAGGACATGACCCCTAGACCGTCCTCCCTAGGACATGACCCCCTAGACCGTCCTCCCTAGGACATGACCCCCTAGACCGTCCTCCCTAGGACATGACCACCTAGACCGTCCTCCCTAGGACATGACCACCTAGACCCCCCTCCCTAGGACATGACCCCTAGACCGTCCTCCCTAGGACATGACCCCTAGACCCCCCTCCCTAGGACATGACCCCCTAGACCCCCCCTCCCTAGGACATGACCCCTAGACCGTCCTCCCTAGGACATGACCCCTAGACCCCCCTGCCTAGGACATGACCCCTAGACCGTCCTCCCTAGGACATGACCACCTAGACCGTCCTCCCTAGGACATGACCACCTAGACCCCCCTGCCTAGGACATGACCCCTAGACCGTCCTCCCTAGGACATGACCCCTAGACCGTCCTCCCTAGGACATGACCCCTAGACCCCCCTCCCTAGGACATGACCCCTAGACCCCCCTCCCTAGGACATGACCCCTAGACCGTCCTCCCTAGGACATGACCCCCTAGACCGTCCTCCCTAGGACATGACCCCTAGACCCCCCTCCCTAGGACATGACCCCTAGACCCCCCTCCCTAGGACATGACCCCTAGACCCCCCTGCCTAGGACATGACCCCTAGACCGTCCTCCCTAGGACATGACCACCTAGACCGTCCTCCCTAGGACATGACCACCTAGACCCCCCTCCCTAGGACATGACCCCTAGACCCCCCTGCCTAGGACATGACCCCTAGACCGTCCTCCCTAGGACATGACCCCTAGACCCCCCTCCCTAGGATATGACCCCTAGACCCCCCTCCCTAGGACATGACCCCTAGACCCCCTCCCTAGGACATGACCCCCTAGACCACCCTCCCTAGGACATGACCCCTAGACCCCCCTCCCTAGGACATGACCCCCTAGACCACCCTGCCTAGGACATGACCCCTAGACCCCCCTCCCTAGGACATGACCTCCTAGACCCCCCCTCCCTAGGACATGACCCCTAGACCCCCCTCCCTAGGACATGACCTCCTAGACCCCCCTCCCTAGGACAAGACCCCTAGACCCCCCTCCCTAGGACATGACCCCTAGACCCCCCTCCCTAGGACATGACCCCTAGACCCCCCTCCCTAGGACATGACCCCCCAGACCGTCCTCCCTAGGACATGACCCCTAGACCCCCCTCCCTAGGACATGACCCCCCTCCCTAGGACATGACCCCTAGACCCCCCTCCCTAGGACATGACCTCCTAGACCCCCCTGCCTAGGCACGCCTGTAGATCTGAAAGGATTGGATAGCTGTGAACAGTATGGCCATAAATTAAAGGAATGATGTATGGGCTGATTTATAAAGATGACTGTATTCACTGTAAGATGTGAGGTGTAAACCATTGTATAATTTGTCACGTATAAAACTGAAACACAGAGTCTGAAAAGAGTGGTATGTTAGAATGTAATCCTATTTCTATGGTTCTAATGTTTTACGCTGACTGTAGTATTAGGGTACGATGTTACTTGTAAAGCCAAGCAGTATATCACAGGAGTGGGTTAATAGAGAATTGTTTGTGGGTCTCTCATCCACCATGGCCTTTACCACTGTCTGCATGACCCCACAATCTAACTTATGTCACTGTAATCAACCGATTGCTGACACAAATTAATACTTTTCACACTTAGGACTAATTTCTCCTGATTGAAGAGGTCAGATTCTTAAGTACAATTAGTGTATAATTATCTCCATCCAATTTCATAATTTAACTTTTTGAAAGGTTAACGTCAGTGGCACTCACAGTCAGTGGTGATTTTAGCATGTAAATCTTGGTGGGGCAAACTCCCCCAAAAATGTTTGGATGCATGCCAGCAAAGCCACTACACTACACAACACAACACAAAATAATACATTAATTGCACTATAACGGTGACAAACGGTGCCCACAAACTGTCAGGGCCTCCATAAAGCTGTCCCAACAGCAGAGCTTTCTTTTCAGCACCATGGAGTGAATCCTTACCACTGCTACACCTGGCTATCAGCAGAGCCTTGTCTGGCAGCGAAACAGTTCATTCAGCCTCATTTACTGCCTTTTTAAAAAACATAGCTGATATGGCTGACTTGCTTATACAAATGAGGCAATCCGTAATTTCGATTAAGACATTAATGAGCGAGCTAGGACAGACGTAGTCAATATAACTATTTGTTCAGCACTTTTGAAATGTACAGCGACAGAATTCAGAACATGGGCCGTTCTTACAGTATTCTCCCTGTACACCAAGTCAGAACCGTAGGATAAATAAAGGGGGCATATAAGCAGACAATGAAAGCTCTTACAATATTCGATGATTACATTTCTCTATAACAGGTTATAGGCTACATGTGCACCACCAAGTCAGAACAGTAGGCGAAATTAAGAGGGCAAAATAGACCAAATTATTAGGGTGAGGCACATGGGCTACTAACAGCTTACTACACAACATACACTTAGTTTTACTTTCTTAGCTACAGTATACATATCTCCCTGGCATATTACATCATTTATACAGCAGCGTACAATACATTTTTGGACTCACCTTGTTGTGCTCACTTGAACAGGAAGGTGGCGTGTCATCAAACTTTGTCATCAAAGTCTGCCATTCTCTGGATTTATGGTGCTTTCAAGACAACTGGGAACTCGAAAAAAACCAATGTCGAATCATGACGTCAGTGATTTTCAGGTCGGAGCTCTAGAAAGAGGCCAGAGTTCCCGACCTGGAAATTCCGAGTTGGATGACCGTTCAAAACGTATTTTCCCAGTCGGAGCTTGTTATTTTCAGAGTTCCCAGTTGTTTTGAACTCACTGAAGTCTGAGATTTCCCAGTTCTGAGTTTCCAGTTGTTTTGAACGCGGCAGAAGTCATTCTGGATTGACAGCATGGCCAATGTATTCAACCTTTTCTGGCCCGTGGTGTTGAATGTTTATCCTTTTAAGCTTGGAAAAGAGACCCTTAAACCCAGACTTGGGACAACACATCCACTCCACTGAATAGCAGGCTAGTGATTGCTTTGCAATGCTTGCAGTTAGCCACTGATTCCTTCCAAACCACTCATTGTTGAATTTGCGATTTCCAACTTTGTTGTGTAATGTTTATGTCCAATGGCCGATGAGCACTGATACGTTTTATCTATAATTTATCTTCATATGACAAGGATTGAAAAGGATTTGCCAGTAAATTGTTGACATGATTCATGATGATGACTGCTTGTCTAGCTTGCTAGCTAAGATGTTGAAAGTATGATATTGGCATGATCAGTCCAATCAACGCTACGGTAGCTATAACGTGATTTGACGTGGCCAAGGACCTTGAGCCTTCTTGGATGGGCACTTCTAATGTAACTCTACGGCAGCACCCAAGGGGCTTGTATTTTTCGAGCTCTCCCCGTAGATTTTGCGGTGATGTAGTGTCCCCATGAGTGACAGAACACTGAGCCAATCATGGCGCAACTAGAGAACATTACCAACCCCTACGCTCCGTATTTTCTCCTGGCTGCCCCACCACCACAGAAAGCACTGAGCTAGGCTGAAACACCTGCATTATGGAGCTGCCTCTCTCAATAAAGCAAAAAAGAGACCATGTTTGTCTGTGGCTTTATTAACTCAATTATATATATTTTTTTACATTGTTTGCGAACGGACATGTGACAGGTATTTATTATTTATATGTATATTATTTATTTTTTAGCTAAACAGTGAGCCCCACCTGCCCTGAATGACCTAACCTACTGTACATGTAGTTCCACTGAGGACCAAGACATGTTAAGGTGAAGAATGGGGTCCTCTAGTGGTAAGTGTGAGGAATGACAGGCGACTATATAAAGCCCGTGAGCCAGTAGGATACCTGAGTATGTGATTATCCCGACCACTAGAGAATGGCAAAGAGAGAGAGAGAGAGAGAGTGGTAAAGAGAGCGAGTGAAAAGTTAGTGGTCATACGCACATCCTTAAAAAACTGGATGTGCTGGGCTAATAAATCATACCTGTAAAGAACAGGAAGGCCCGCACACTGTTTATGCTCCCAAATCACAGCTTTATTGACAACGTTTCGATCCGAAACGGATCTTCGTCAGGTCAAACAGACTGAGTACTCACATTCCAAAAGAGAGAGAGAGTGACTAATCAGGGTCTTCCATCAGGAGACACTCAGTAGGTCATCATGACGCGAGCATGCAAGGCAGAGCTCTTCTAGCGCTGGACTGACGACTGATGCTCTATAATTGGGGGATTGATGTCTAACATGTTAGGCTACTTGCTGGGAAATGGGCGTTAGTGCTTCGTGGTGTCACATTTAAGATCCCCTCCTACCCGTCACAGAAAGACAGCCACTGCCAGTCACTATGTGCATCAATATGGTGGCTTATTGCAGGGAGTAATATTCTGGAAATTCTGTCTGTTGGTATGTGAGGTACTGGTGTATGGCTCCTATTAGCTTGTTACCCTCAGGTAAAGAGAAGTGTATGTGTTTATTTAACCATTATTTAACAAGGTTAGTCAGTTAAGAATACTTTCTAAATGACATTGGCAGCCTGGCATCTGTCCTGTCTGCTACTATAGTTCTTAAACGTTTCCTTGGACGGTTTGACAGTGGTTCTAAGATTCATTTGAGTGCATTTATTTCTATTCAGTGGGATTATGAGGTTAATAGTCTGTCACAAGACACTATTTTACTGTAAACCCTATGATGCTCCGATTCCAGAGTTACGCCACACATCTGAACTCTGGCGCGGTGGCAAAGGGAAAATACCCCCTGTGTGCATCTGACTGACGTCCGTGTACCAAGAAGTCAGTCAGGAGTGAAGAGCTGAGCTGCCTTTCGTGTGTAACACCATTATCCACCTGGCCTGCCCTAGGAGTCACAACAGGCTAGCAGGCTAGCAGGATGGTGGTGGGAGGGAAGGGCCGTCCGGGCACTGAGTCTTAGCTGCAACAACACATTTTAAATATAACTGCCTTTGGAAAGCTGACACCAACCCTCCGCATGTCTCTGACACCGACTCCTAGAGATGATAAGATTGAGGCTGGGACTGAAGGAGGATATCGTTCACAGTGTAGGAGCTCAACAACAACAAATGATCTGCCATGGGCTATTGCACTTACAGGGCTGTCAAAGTGGTGTTACAAAGTAGCCATGACATGTTGAGGCCCACAACATTGAGACAACATTGTGTGATGGTTGTGTGTTTTCTGGGTCTTTCGTGGGTCTAAAGCACAGCTACAGTATACTCCATAGATATAGCCTCTAACAAGAACATGATCCTGAAGAGCATTGTAGCATTAATTGCAACCACCATAGCATACAACACAGTGCAGTATGTCACATTCACAGTCTGAATGCAGCCCTCTGATGCAACCAAGGTGCATGAACAGTAGAGAAGACTGAAGATACGTCCATGCTTTCTCTCTGCACTGATCTGACCTCTGACCTCCTGTTTGTTTTCATTCAACCACACCCCCCCTGCAGCTGCTCATCAACTGAATATTCCTCAAAGAGATCTTTAATGGCCTTCTAGAAAGCCAGACAGCTGAGTGTCACATACAGCCTCCTCCCTCCTGTAGACAGGAACACATACAGCCTCCTCCCTCCTGTAGACAGGAACACATACAGCCTCCTCCCTCCTGTAGACAGGAACACATACAGCCTCCTCCCTCCTGTAGACAGGAACACATACAGCCTCCTCCCTCCTGTAGACAGGAACACATACAGCCTCCTCCCTCCTGTAGACAGGAACACATACAGCCTCCTCCCTCCTGTAGACAGGAACACATACAGCCTCCTCCCTCCTGTAGACAGGAACACATACAGCCTCCTCCCTCCTGTAGACAGGAACACATACAGCCTCCTCCCTCCTGTAGACAGGAACACATACAGCCTCCTCCCTCCTGTAGACCGGAACACATACAGCCTTCCTCCCTCCTGTAGACAGGAACACATACAGCCTCCTCCCTCCTGTAGACAGGAACACATACAGCCTCCTCCCTCCTGTAGACAGGAACACATACAGCCTTCCTCCCTCCTGTAGACAGGAACACATACAGCCTCCTCCCTCCTGTAGACAGGAAGCATTAAAAGACTCAGGAATAATGAAAGACTTGCATGTGATAAACTGGTATTTGGTGACTCAGTGAAGTACATCCCAAAAGTAGGAGGGTTTGTTTAACTCACGGGATGTCCTGAGCTCTGTGTACCGTGGTCCGAGGGACCCGGAAGAGGCTGAGGGGTTCGACTGGACAGTACTTCACACCCGCTAGAGCACCAGATTCACAGTGTTTAATAGTCACATGTACAGGGTTGCAGGTGTGATTGCAGGGTACAGTGAACATCTTAGGCTTCGAGCTCCAACGTGCAGTTGGAGTGAAATAAAATAATTGAAAATGGTGATAAAAAACAAATATACTTCTCCCATGGGCAAAGAAACTCAAGGGGTGATGATATTAATGAACAGTTCATTTCGATCCGAATGTGCAAATTGTCCAAACAGATCCGCAAGGTAGATGGATGATTTTAAATATGTTATTGGACCATAAACAGATATGGCTCATTAACCTTTACGGACCAAATAATGATGATCCACACTTCTTTGACAATATATATAATAAATTATCAACCCTGCAAGCAATATAAGACTCTATTATTATGGTGGGAGATTATAATACCGTTTTAAATAGCTCAATGGACCGTAAAGGAAATCACACTACAAACTATCACCCTCATGCTCTTAAGGAAATCATGAATGTAATGGTACATTAGAATTAGTAGATATATGGAGGCTTAAATATCCTGACCTAGTGAGATATACATGGCGGAGACTCAATCAAGCTAGTCGTCTTGACTTCTTTCTTATGTCATTCTCGTTGGCACCAAAAGTTTAAAAAGTGTTGATAGGGGACAGAATGCGGTCGGACCATCATATAATTGGCATATACATTACTCTTCCTGAATTTCCACGTGGGTGAGGATATTGGAAATTTAATCAAAGCCTATTGGATGATAACTTGTTTTTAACTAGGACAGAGGAATTTTTAACTGATTTTTTCTGACATAACATAGGTGCAGCAAATCCCCTTATTGCATAGGACACTTTTAAATGTGCCTTTAGAGGCCATTCAATTCAGTACTCATCTCGAAAACAAAAGCAATTTAGGTCAAAAGAGTCCACACTAACAAAGGAAATAGAAGGTCTAACAGAACAGATAGATGGCAATAAAAACTGTAACATAGAGGCTCAGAATAAATTAGCGGAAAAACAAAAAGAAATAGAGAAACTTATTCAAGAAAGATCAAGTGTAATTCAAAAAAAAAAAGGTATAATCTTCGTAAATTATATCATAGGTAGGACTGGTGGAGTTATGTCGCACATGCAGCTAACAAAAACATATGGAAATGTCTGCTCTACCCAAAATTACAACCAAATAATTGCAGCCTTACCGCAAAAATGGAAAAGTAAAGTGGAAGGGGGAAAAAGTAAGGAACTTGTCTGTCAGCTTTGCATTAAAGAACATAATTGGTTAAAGAAAATTGTGATAAATAAAAAAGTATACCCGTTTCATTTAAGGACCAAACGATTGACAGCCGTCCCATATAGATTGCAAAATAGTTGGGAAGAGATTTTTGACATACCGATTCCATGGCATAGTGTTTATGAACTGATATGCAAAACAACGCCGGATTCAAAACTTAGAATTTTTCAATTTAAAGTATTATACAAAATTATTGCTTCCAATAGAATGTTATTTACATGGGGGATACAATCTTCCCAGCTCTGCAGATTTTGCTGCGAAGACACAGAATCATTAGATCATTTGTTTTGGTACTGTCCATTTGTAGCTTGTTTTTGGACACATGTCCAAGAATGGCTGAAGGATTGCAATATTTACCTGGAGCTAACCCTGCAGATAGCACTACTGAGTGATCTGAAAAGTCATAGTCAATCGATCAATAATATAATAATACTTTTAGCAAAAATGTTTATTTTCAATTTACAATCTGTAGAAACAATGAGAATAAAAGGAATCAGAACTTTTGTGAAACATCACAGTACAGTTGAAAAATATATGGCAAATAGAAATCTAATATGGATGGTGTTAAGAGATAGATGGGAGGTGTTGAATGGAGCTGAAGGATGGGACTAATAACAACTAACAACAACTAATGACAACAAGTTAACTATTGTAAAGCATACGGTGTCCATAATAAGTACAGTGGGGAAAAAAAGTATTTAGTCAGCCACCAATTGTGCAAGTTCTCCCACTTAAAAAGATGAGAGAGGCCTGTAATTTTCATCATAGGTACACGTCAACTATGACAGACAAATTGAGAAAAATAAATCCAGAAAATCACATTGTAGGATTTTTAATGAATTTATTTGCAAATTATGGTGGAAAATAAGTATTTGGTCACCTACAAACAAGCAAGATTTCTGGCTCTCACAGACCTGTAACTTCTTCTTTAAGAGGCTCCTCTGTCCTCCACTCGTTACCTGTATTAATGGCACCTGTTTGAACTCGTTATCAGTATAAAATACACCTGTCCACAACCTCAAACAGTCACACTCCAAACTCCACTATGGCCAAGACCAAAGAGCTGTCAAAGGACACCAGAAACAAAATTGTAGACCTGCACCAGGCTGGGAAGACTGAATCTGCAATAGGTAAGCAGCTTGGTTTGAAGAAATCAACTGTGGGAGCAATTATTAGGAAATGGAAGACATACAAGACCACTGATAATCTCCCTCCATCTGGGGCTCCACGCAAGATCTCACCCCGTGGGGTCAAAATGATCACAAGAACGGTGAGCAAAAATCCCAGAACCACACGGGGGGACCTAGTGAATGACCTGCAGAGAGCTGGGACCAAAGTAACAAAGCCTACCATCAGTAACACACTACGCCGCCAGGGACTCAAATCCTGCAGTGCCAGACGTGTCCCCCTGCTTAAGCCAGTACATGTCCAGGCCCGTCTGAAGTTTGCTAGAGTGCATTTGGATGATCCAGAAGAGGATTGGGAGAATGTCATATGGTCAGATGAAACCAAAATATAACTTTTTGGTAAAAAACTCAACTCGTCGTGTTTGGAGGACAAAGAATGCTGAGTTGCATCCAAAGAACACCATACCTACTGTGAAGCATGGGGGTGGAAACATCATGCTTTGGGGCTGTTTTTCTGCAAAGGGACCAGGACGACTGATCCGTGTAAAGGAAAGAATGAATGGGGCCATGTATCGTGAGATTTTGAGTGAAAACCTCCTTCCATCAGCAAGGGCTATGAAGATGAAACGTGGCTGGGTCTTTCAGCATGACAATGATCCCAAACACACCGCCCGGGCAACGAAGGAGTGACTTCGTAAGAAGCATTTCAAGGTCCTGGAGTGGCCTAGCCAGTCTCCAGATCTCAACCCCATAGAAAATCTTTGGAGGGAGTTGAAAGTCCGTGTTGCCCAGCGACAGCCCCAAAACATCACTGCTCTAGAGGAGATCTGCATGGAGGAATGGGCCAAAATAACAGCAACAGTGTGTGAAAACCTTGTGAAGACTTACAGAAAACGTTTGACCTCTGTCATTGCCAACAAAGGGTATATAACAAAGTATTGAGAAACTTTTGTTATTGACCAAATACTTATTTTCCACCATAATTTGCAAATAAATTCATGAAAAATCCTACAATGTGATTTTCTGGATTTTTTTTCTCATTTTGTCTGTCATAGTTGACGTGTACCTATGATGAAAATTACAGGCCTCTCTCATCTTTTTAAGTGAGAGAACTTGCACAATTGGTGGCTGACTAAATACTTTTTTTCCCCACTGTAGGTTATAGGTTGAGAGCTTTTGTGAAAGAGCACAGTTAGAAAGATATGGCATATAGAAGCACACTGGATGGACATCATGAAAATGATCAGAGAGGTTGAGGGTAGAGGAAGTTCAGGAGTAAAAACAAACAAAATGGAATTATTGTAAAATTGACTGTGTCCATAAAATGTATATAGTATGTATAAGCTGGAAGTAGAGGCCTAAGCGTTGTTGTTCCCTAGTTTACTACAATTAGGGAAGGGGTGGTGGGGTTGGAAAGTAATAAAGGGAAATATATATTTTTTAAAGGATATGTATATATATATGTATATGTATTTATAAGTATGTATATATGTATGTGTATGTATATACACTGCTCAAAAAAATAAAGGGAACACTTAAACAACACAATGTAACTCCAAGTCAATCACACTTCTGTGAAATCAAACTGTCCACTTAGGAAGCAACACTGATTGACAATACATTTCACATGCTGTTGTGCAAATGGAATAGACAACAGGTGGAAATTATAGGCAATTAGCAAGACACCCCCAATAAAGGACTGGTTTTGCAGTTGGTGACCACAGACCACTTCTCAGTTCCTATGCTTCCTGGCTGATGTTTTGGTCACTTTTGAATGCTGGCGGTGCTTTCACTCTAGTGGTAGCATGAGACGGAATCTACAACCCACACAAGTGGCTCAGGTAGTGCAGCTCATCCAGGATGGCACATCAATGCGAGCTGTGGCAAGAAGGTTTGCTGTGTCTGTCAGCGTAGTGTCCAGAGCATGGAGGCGCTACCAGGAGACAGGCCAGTACATCAGGAGACGTGGAGGAGGCCGTAGGAGGGCAACAACCCAGCAGCAGGACTGCTACCTCCGCCTTTGTGCAAGGAGGAGCAGGAGGAGCACTGCCAGAGCCCTGCAAAATGACCTCCAGCAGGCCATAAATGTGCATGTGTCTGCTCAAACGGTCAGAAACAGACTCCATGAGGGTGGTATGAGGGCCCGACGTCCACAGATGGGGGTTGGGCTTACAGCCCAACACCGTGCAGGACATTTGGCATTTGCCAGAGAAACACCAAGATTGGCAAATTCGCCACTGGCGCCCTGTGCTCTTCACAGATGAAAGCAGGTTCACACTGAGCACGTGACAGACGTGACAGAGTCTGGAGACGCCGTGGAGAACGATCTGCTGCCTGCAACATCCTCCAGAATGACCGGTTTGGCGGTGGGTCAGTCATGGTGTGGGGTGGCATTTCTTTGTGGGGCCGCACAGCCCTCCAT